ACTCAAAACAGACCCTAAAAAAGCCGAGAAAATCCTCTGTCCAATAACTTTATCACCGAATTTAATAAAAACATTACGAAACAAAGGACCCAAAAGACCTACATCTGGAATTGCACACAAAAACTCTCGCGAACATACCTCTAAATCTTCCCATATCTCCCCCACTTTTTAGAGTAAATTTACAACCGCAACTTCATACTTACTACCTCTTAGTCTTCAAATAGCTAAATAAAGTGTCACCGATTGGTAAAGAGGAATATGGAATGTAGAAATAAGAGCGCTATTCTCTTCATTCCCTTGCGCACAACGTGGGACTCGAGGTCGCTTACCCTAAAATTACCAACGTAAACACGAGACTCTCATAGAAAACGTATTTGCAGGTAAAGGAGGGACGTAGGAATTTGAACTTGCTTTATAATTTTGCTATGCTGTTCTTAAGATAAATTATATATATTAGTTGTTGTTACTATTGTTGTTATTATTATTATTATTATTATTATTATTATTATTATTATTATTATTATTATTATTATTATTATTATTATTATTATTATTATTATTATTATTATTATTATTATTATTATTATTATTATTATTATTATTATTTATTATTATTATTATTAATTATTATTATTATTATTATTATTATTATTATTATTATTATTATTATTATTATTATTATTATTATTATTATTATTATTTATTATTATTATTATTATTATATTATTATTATTATTATTATTATTATTATTATTTATTATATTATTATTATTATTATTATTATTATTATTATTTATTATTATTATTATTATTATTATTATTATTATTATTATTATTATTATTATTATTATTATTATTATTATTATTATTATTATCATTATTATTATTATTATTATTATTATTATTATTATTATTATTATTATTATTATATTATCATTATTATTATATAATTGCTGTCAGATTTATCATTTCTATATTTTTTATCATTACTATTATCATAATATTATTATCATTGTTATTATTGTTATAATTATTATTATTATTATTATTATTATTATTATTATATTAGTAGTAGTAGTAGTAGTAGTAGTAGTAGTAGTAGTATATTATTATTATATTAATATTATTATCATTATCATTTTATTATTATTATTAGTAGTAGTATTATTTATTATATTATTATCTGTTATTATCATTATTTTTTCATTATCATTATTACTATTATTATTATATTATTATTATTATTATTATTATTATTATTATTATTATTATTATTTATTATTATTATATATTATTATTATATATTATTATTATTATTATTTATTATTATTATTATTATTATTATTATTATTATTATTATTATATTATTATTATTATCTTATCTAATTATATATATATCATTATTATTATTATTATTATTATTATTATTATTATTATTTATTATTATTATTATTATTATTATTATTATTATTATTA